TCCATTGTTTCTCCTCGGGGGGCATCTCCTTTATTTGTATACTGCTTCAGGTGGCCCATTTTGACGAGGATTTCAATAACATCTTTCAAGTGGATGCAGTCTTCTGTTACGTGGTCGTGGCTGCGGTGGAAGCGACAATATTTGCTTTGGTCGGTATTGCTCTTTGAAGCTGTTGGCTTAGGTAATTGGACGCCACATTGCTTGAATTCGACGTTGATACATTTGGATAGAATACGCTCGTGGGGAGCGGTCAACAGGGTGTATTCGGTGAATCAACCTTCATGACCTTTGTGATCTCGAGGATGGTCGTCTCGTCGCTTGTCTTTGTCTCGCTTGGAAGTTTCTGCTTCGTCTTTCTTCAACACTTTGGAACTCTCTTGGTCCCTCGAGTCTCTGGCCTTACACATAACTTTCTTCTCTTCGTACTGAATGTAGGATTATGCCTGGCGGAGAAGTTCGGCTAGAGACCAAGGAGGGTTGATTCCTACTACCTTGCGAAAGTCGATTTTTGGCCTCAATCCCTTCTCTAGTAAATACTTTTTCATATGGTCGGTTGTGCGAATTTCGAACGCTTCCTTTGTGAACCTGTCGACGTAATTGTGCAGAGGTTCGTCCCTACCCTGGATGATGCCTTCAAGCGTAGCTTTGGATTTTAGGTGGCGCCTGAAGGTAGTAAAGTGTCGGGAAAACTGCTCCTTAAGACTCCTACATGACGTGATCGATCCCCGAGGAAGGCTCTTGTACCAAGTCATAACCCCTTTCCTGAGGGTGGTGAGGAATAACCTGTATTTGATCGTGCCAGGGACATTATGGTAATGCATCATGGCCTCAATGTTTTCTATATGGTCACCAGGGTCGGTGGTACTATCATAGAGAGCTAGAGGGGGAGGTTTCTCCAGTCCGCGTGGAATGCGAGTGTCCATAATTTCTTGTGACAGGGGCCGCTTGCGTTGTCTTCATCACTCGTGCTGGAAGATCTGCTGAACGAATAACTGCGTCCTCGGCTCCTGCTGCATCGAGGAGAATGTTCATGTAGGTTTCGGTGCTCTTCTCGAGGCTTTCCAGAAGGCCTGGTCTTTTTCTATACATAGGAGTGCCTGGATTTCCGAGGAGGGGTACGATCGCGCTTTAGGATGGTCTCATGTCCACGCTTCTCCAGTTTGGATCGTTATTTGACAGGGGAGATGCTTCTAGATTCGTCTCGGAAATGCTTTTGACGAGGGGAATGAGACCGACGAGATGGGCTGAGGGATCCCTGCGGGGGAGGTCATTCTCTAATGGTGTTTTCCAACATGTGGATTTTTTATCCTCGTTGGAAGAGCAGATAGTTGGACTTATTGAGGGCGGCAAAGAAGGTCGCGGTGCAAGGGTCAGCATCTTGCGGGACGGTGATAGGTTTGTATACATGGTCGGAATCTTGGACATGAGACTTCACGTTGTCAGGGGATGTTGGTTTTTCGTCTCTGCAATCAATTTCTCCGGTGGCAGCTACGGAGATGAGGGTTTCACCATAACCCAGAACAGCGACGAAGGAATCTTGCTGGACGTCACTATGATGGGAGGCCATGAAGATGAAGGTTCAGAGAGGTAATTTTGGTCTTTTGTTTGGGAAGATTGGGAAATCTTGGTTTAAAAAGACGGGGGAGCTAGTGTTCCCACAGACGGCGCCACTGCTCTGGAGTGATCAGAGTGGATCGTCTTAGCCTTTAATATAGGGTAGCAACAGTGGTTGTAGGAGAGGAGAGGGTGTACCTGACCCTCTCAAGAGAGAGCGTATTTATAAGTTTTCCCCCAGCGCGGGGTCAAGGTCTCCCATGTAACCGAAATATATGGTCGGCCAATGGGAGACTTCCAGGTGGAAGATGTAGCGCATGATCTTTGACCTGGTCCAACTATCTTCGTGACTTTCGAAGGGGCATTTGGTTGCTTGAACTGTCAAGCGCGTGAGGGGAACTTCCCTAACGACTATGTGCTCCAACGACTATATTGTGCCCAACGGCTATATTGTGTCCTATGGTCGTATTGGGCCTGCCCTTAAGTTAGACTGGATTGGAACTTGCTCAATTGTGGGGCAGGTGCCAGTCCAATCCAAAATAGTAAGTGTTAATAATATAACTTGGCTTAAGAGACATAACAAAATACTAATTTTAATAAATGATTTAGGAGGTGAAATGGTTTAATTTGAAAAAAGTCCTTTAATATAAAAAATTGCAACATTATCAATAGTATAATTTATGAATCATTAAACATTATCAACAATACTTTTGGCACATCCTTATGATTTTTAACATAGGTGCAAATAGAAATCACGTTTGTACAAATGGAATCGGCCAATCGTAACACGTCTTTTAACGGGATGCCTTGATTGCAGACATGCCTACCCCTATATTTTAAAACTAGCGCCAAATGCAGAAGGAGACATTGTAAAAAGAGCAGTATGCTCAAATTCCAATTATCCCCACCTATATTGCATGCACGCAGACTAACTTCTTTACGTGGAATGTATACAAGGCTGAATTTAACTATTCATTTCATTTACCCCTTCTTAAATTTACCTTACTTACTCCCTCAACCACATTTCATCTTCACACTATAAATACCAACTTATTTCATTTTATTTTTCACACATCCAAATATATCAAATACACTAAATATTCCTACGTTCAAATAATAATAAAGGGTAACAATGTTTTGTTAACTTTGAGCGAAAAAGCATAGAGGAACACTCACAAATATTACATCTTATGTAAATTATTTCACATTGTTTCATATTTAAACTTTCTACTATACTTTATAATCAATGTGACTATAATAATTATTTTTTTCATTCTTTCTAGGACTAAAAAAGATTTCGAACTCGCAACCATGAATATATCCACATGACAAAATCATATGTCCTTATTTTGAGCATGCTTGTTTTGCCCACATTATGAACTTTACATCATATGCACTTAATACTAAGTTTATTCGCGTTATTCTAAAAAAATGGAGACCTAAGACACATATATTACATCTTCCAACCAACAAATTTATTGTAACACTCGAGGGTGTGCACATGATGTTAGGTCTCAGTGTGAATGGTAAGACAGTAAATAACATAACCAAGATTTTAATCAATATTTTCGACAATAAACATTAGCCACCAACCCATCATGCTCACATCAATACACACAATCAACACCTCAACCAAACACATAAACTTCCAAACACCATCACAACATATTCCTTTTTACCCCACACAAAATTCTATGCTTCACGAAAATTAATATTGCCTAACTATTACCACATTAACCCAAACAACAACACAGCCAAACTTTAAATACATGGGCAACGAATTAAATTACAACAGTGCGGCGACTAATCTGAATCCTTTAGACACACTCGAAGACTTTCTTTTTTCTAATGAAGACGCGAGAACTTCTTCTTAACTACCTTAGCAAAATCAACTGAGGTCTTAAAGGCAATTAGCACCTCGTCTGTGTGGAACCAGAGTCACTTTGATGGATCCCATCGATAATGTAAAAATTGTGATGGAATTTTTATTATATTTGAGTAATAGTTAAGATTTGTTGACATAAAATATGAATTTAAAAGAATTACGTAAATCTCAATCGTTAATGAGATTGAATCAAAATGTCATATTAAATGAAACAAAAAAATACATGATCATTTTTTTCTTAAATAATAGATTAACTATACATAGGTTGTCAATAGATTCTAACTCTTTGAGTAATATTTTGTTAATTTTCTTAATTAAACTTTGTCTTATTAATTATTTTTATATAACAAGTTATTATGAAAAATTAAATAATGATCATAATTAACAATAATTAAATAAGAGTACTCTATTAAACAATAATTTAAAATAATTAAAGAAAATAGTTAATTAACATTAAAATATATCTATACAATATATAAAGAGAATACTTTGTTTTGGTACGACTTATTTTTCTATCATTTTTATTGTGTAATTTATTTAATAACTTTCTATTATTAACTTCGACATAATTTATTATTTTTAAATTCTACATAATTTCTTATTATTAATTTCCATACATTATATTTTTAAAAAAAATTATTTAAAAAAAATTATAATTTATATTTTCATGCGTATTAAAAAAGCGAACCGTCAATCTGAACCCTAGTTAAAATAAAACAAGGAGGAGACTCTTAAACTATTGGTATCAATAACACACAAAAATTACATATTTGAAAGTAGAATATTTCCATATTTATGTTGAAAAGTATGGTAATTTAAAGTTGGAAAAATGAAGTATTGTGGTAAAAAAAACTCAATTTTTAACTTTGTTATTTCCCGTTAAAGATAACGAGAGAAAAGAACAGTAAGAGCACAACCAAACATTTCCCTTAATCTATCCATCGTTTTATTCACGCCAGTAGAAAGAAACAAAACTATGTCTAGTTGCTTACTACCAGCTGTAACTCAAATAAATATGGACAAAAGAATTAAATATTTTCAATTACACGTGTTGATCATGAGGCTAAAACAAGTGGTACCCTATTTTCAAAAGCTGTGCGTTGTTGATTCTTACACACAAGAACAAAAACTACATGTGTGATTTCAAATTATAGTGATATTGTTTGATTTCCAAATTGATGATAGATTTTATGGAATATCAGAAACAGAACAAACTCTGCTAGATTACACAGCATGAACACAGAGACTCTTACTACTTGTATGTAAGAGTTCAATTACTGATATTTCCCTACAATAACATAGCATCAAAAAAAATCATAAATGAAGGATTTGAGACACTTCCCTCTAGTAACACATTATTGGCTCTACAAGCATCAAATGAAAAACTCAAATCCCTAATGATACTACTGAAAGAAACAAAAAAAATTACTGACTCTTGGCCATTTGCTCAGAGGATGCAATGCAAGTGCCATGTTTGTTACCATCAGATCTAACACCAACCCATCCTTTCCTCGTGGTTATTTATTTTCTGATTCTCAATTAAGCTAAATCAAAATCAAAATCAATTCTGCTGATCATTTCTCCTCGCTGATCCATCGCCTTCCCTCTCCTCAAGCAACCTTCCAGCTTCCTCATCGCTTTGCGGAGTTTTCTTCTGTATCTCCTTAGCCTTAAGCGCCTGCAACTTGGAGTGATTATAATAAGCCACGCCCAGAAAAGCAAGCCCATACCCAAACAAATTAATTGGCGTCACAGTATCTTTAATCACACTCCAAGAAAAAGCGATCAAAAGCCAATCTTTCACCACCCCAGCAACATTCATCGTCAAGGCAGACGTTTTCCCAACCAGAAGAAAAACAGCCAGATTCAAAGCAAACGCACAGAGAGAATTAGTCCCGAAAATGATAAAATCGAAATGAAAACTTGAAGTCTCTCTCAAAACAGGAAACTCAACCAGAATCCAAGGAACAGACAAGAAAACCAAACAACAAGGAGCAACGTAGTACAAACTAGTTATAGGATTCAACGAAATCCCTTTGGAATTCAACAAGATTTGAATCATAACCAATCTCGTCGCTTCGAACGCAACCGCGCCAAGCTGAAGAATAACACCCCAAGTATCAAATCTCGCTTCACCATACGCGGCAACGCCAACACCTAACGAAATCGAAAGCATATTAAACATGGTATCATTCTTATAATTCTCCTTCTTCAAAGCAACGCCGATGGAGTAAACCGCGACCGGCATTAGCGCTTTCAGCATCTGGATAAACGAAACGGAGAGATAAATATAGGCGGAATTTGAAAGCCATAGCGAAAGAGAATACAGCGCTCCGATTGGAACGACGGAAGAGAGATAAACTTCGCGCGACATTGAAACGGGTTCGACGAATTTGAAGACGCGAACGAGGAGAATAGCTAGGGTTGCGCAGAAGGACATGTGGATCATGGTTAGGGAGATTGGGAAGGGCCAGTTGTACATCTTTTTGTCTAGGATGTATTTGTTGTAGACGATGACGGTGAAGGATAAGAAGATCCATATCGCTACGTAGGTGTAGGATAAGAGGATCTTTCTCATCACACCATCGCTAACAGATCCACCTTTCCCCATTGTTGAACAGGAAGAAGATGATGAAGAAGAAAGAGTCAGAGAGAGTGATAACAGAATAATAAAAGTTTTGCGACTAGTAAGAATACAAAACAACTATTTAAATCAAAATAATTATTAATTATAATATTATTTTATTTTTTTTACAATTATTATTATTTTTCAAATTTAACTACGACACTTTTGGCTTTATTGCAAAAGTTAATTTTGGTGGAATTTTTTTATTTATTAGTCAATCTATAATTTTAAATTATGTTATCTTGCTAATGATTGTATATTTGTATTCTATATTACTTGCTCGCCTTTAAAGATAAGAATCAGATTTTATTGATTCCATTGTTTTCAAAATTTAGATTTAAATGAGTAATTTTTTTTTTTAAGGAAAAGAATAGTTGCAACTGATTTCTATGGGTGTTAAAACATATTTTTAATTGAAATGATAATATTATTTATGGAAATTTGAAATCCTTCATATTTTATTTCTAAGTTTTCACGCTGAGATATATTAAATGGGTATTTAAACTTATGAATAGCTATATAAGTTCTATTTTGACAAAAATAGCTATAGGTTAATAAGATAGGATATAGTTTATAGTTATAATTGATAATGGATAACTTATCATTTATAACAGATGATTAATAATTTATAATTAATAAGTTAATTGAAGTGTTTGATAAAATTAAAATTTTAATTAAGTGATAGATTAAAATAATAAAGGGTAATTGTGAATTTTACCTAAAATAATAAAAATAAAAGTGAAAGAAAAAATAATAAGCTATAAGTTATAAGATGAAAGACTCTTCCCAAACAAGTCTTTTATTATTATAAGAGCTTATAAGCTATAAATTCAAAAAAAACATCTTGTCAAATAGAGTCACAGTGTAAAATATTTAATGTTCACGATTAATTGATAGTGTAATTTTTGTTATACTATTGGTACATATCAATTAAATTTATTTAAATGAGATTAATTAGTATACATTGTCAATATAAAATATTTTACACGAGTAATGCATTACAATTATTCATAAAAATTACTTTAAAGATAATTAAAATAAAAATCAAACATAAATAAAAAATTGTATAGTTACAATTATATGACAGTTAGATTGTAGGAGAATACCAATTGGATTCATTTAGATGAGACTAACTGATCTAACTAGACAAATTGTAAGATTAATTTCTTTTAAAAAATGTTAAAATTCATTCTGGTGTCAACTTCTCTTGCAGTTAAGAGGCAATTCTGACATATTGATTCTTTAGTTTTTTATGATCTTTTACTTGCTAGTTTCATTTGTTTGTAAATATATTCTAGGAGCTAAAGCTGTCAAAAAGGGCTGAAGCTCATGGACCGACTCACCAAGGTTGAAAAATTAGGGTTTGGGCTTTATTTTTGGAGCCCATATTATTTCGGGCTTTTTTTAGCCTAACCCGAAAAAGCCCTAAAAAAATGGACTAACTCGTATGGGCTATAGGTAGCTTGGCAGCCCAAATTAATTTAATTGTTTGGCTACATACAACACAATACATTCGGTTCAGCCCAAAGGATACATCACGAAAAATTTGAATTGGATACATACAAATTACAATACATTTGGTCCAGCCCAAAAGATACATAATGTATACACTCTATGACAGTATGATGACCTAGTTGCTTGCTTCGAGTTCGATCTACACACTATGACGGTCCAACCTAAATTATCATACATTACACTATGACCCAAAGTATACACACTATGATGGTATAACCTAGCTATTATGCTATGCTTGCTTGCTTCGAGTTCAATCTACTTCTCTTCGTACTTCACTTTGTTCTTCGTTGTTCGATTCGATTTTTATTCAAGCAAGTTTTGTTCGATTCATTCAAGTAATATGCTCATCTATTAATGATTCGTTCAAGTGATATGTTCATCTGTTATAGATCATACACAGTCTTCGTTGTTCGCTCATCGTTATGTTGCTTCGTTCTTCCGTGTTGGGTTGTTCTATTGTTCGCTTATCGTTGTTCTCCTTTCAAGTAAGTGTTGTTATATTCAAATAGTATTATGCATAATGTTCTTCCCTCAGCAGCAGTTTATTGTATTACAGAGTGTTATGCAGAATGTTCATCTGTTTATTGAAAATACTTGGGTTTCTGATGCTTGTTGTTCAAATTAATTTAGGGATTGTTATCTTTTGATAAGTAATGTTGTGTTCAATTGTGCAGAATGTGTTCAAATTACAAAATGTTATCCAAATAATTTAGAGACTATTATCCAATTTGCAGAATGTGTTCAAAACACTTGAGTTTCCATTGTGTTCAAATTACAGAATGTTATCTTTTGAGAAGCAATTAGAGGAACTGTGTTCAAATTAATTTAGGGATTGTTATCCAATAAAAGATTCATGTAGTAATGAGTAATGATAGTTACATGAAAACACTTGAGTTTCTAATGCTTGCTGTACAAATTAATTTAGGGACTGTGTTCAAATTAATTTAGGGATTATGTTCAATTTTTTCATTGTTGTTGTTTTAATAATGAATCATATGTGTGTTGTTAGTATTGTGTTGATTTACATGTAGGGATATTAATTTTTGTCTACTATAATTATAGAAATTAATATTGATAGTGAGGTTAGGGCAACTCCACCTGTGCCATTATTTGATGACTCTAAAATTAACCAATAAGAGTCTTCTGAACCTAACTACCAAATAACAAATGGCCCTTACATCTGAAGTGTGAAAACATTTTTTAAAGGTTGGGGTTATGGATGCTAAAGAGAAATGTAAATATAAAGGTTGTGAAAAATTAATGAGTTGTGCTGCAACTAATGAAATTTCTCATTTAAATCGTCATGTGAATAGTTTTAAGCTTATCCTAAAATTTCACGATGTGAGTGATATATTACTTGATGCCGAAGGAAGATTGAGAAAGAAAAAATTTGAACCTAATGTTAACCGTGAGATATTAGCTGAAATGATGGTTACCCACGGTGTATCATTTAACTTTGTTGAATATAGGGTTTTTATGAAATATCAAAAAAAATTGAATGATGATTGTACCTTTGTTACTATAAATACTTTTTCTAGTGATGTTATGAAATCTTAGGAGGATGAGAAACAAAAGCTTAAGTCACAGTTGACTCAAATTAGGGGGAGAGTTTGTTTGACTTCTGATTGTTGGACTGCATGCACTAACGAAGGTTATATTTCTTTAACTGCTCATTATATTTATGTGAACTGGAAGTTGCAAAATAGATTTTAACTTTTTCTCACATGACACCCCCACATACTGGGCGAGAATTAACATTAAAGGTGTTGAAAATGCTAAGTGATTGGGGTATAGAGAAGAACATTTTTTCCACCACTTTGGACAATGCCTCTGCAAATGATAGCATGCAAAGATTCTTGAAAGTACACTTAGGATTATCAAATAGCTTGTTATTACGGAAAGTTCTTTCATATTCTTTTTTGCGCGCATATTTTGAATCTCATTGTTCAAGATGGATTCAAGGTAGTTGGTGATGTATTGCATGAAATTAGAGAAAGTGTTGCTTATGTAAAGGTAATCAAAAGTAAAACACTATAATTTCATGAATATGTTAGTAATGTTGGTGAGATTGATACAACAATTGGATTAAGATTTGATTGTGTTACTAGATGGAACTCCACTTTTATAATGCTTAAGAGTGCGATTAATTATCGTCTTGCTTTTTATAGCTTGAGATTGCGAGATTCAAATTTTAAGTGTTGTCCTTCAAGTGAAAAGTGGACAAGATCCAAAATAATGTGTGAACTCTTAAAGCCATTCTACAACATTACAAACTTGATCTTCAGATCTTCTTATCCTACTTCTTATTTGTACTTTGGGGAAATATGGAAGATAGAGTGTATTTTGAGTTCTTATTTGACAAGTGAAGATTCTTCGATTCAAGACATGGCTAAAAAAATGAGGGAAAATTTGACAAGTATTGAAGTGAGTATAATGTTATCTTAGCCTTTGATGTTATTCTTGATCCAACAAAAAATTCAACTTTTTGAAGTTTGTATATATAAAAAATTGACGATACAACAAGTGAAGAAAAGTGAGAAAAAGTTAAGTGTGAGTTGTATGAGCTTTATGCGGGATATGTCAAACATGGGATTTCTTATAATCCTAACTTTTCACAAGTGCAACCTTTTTTTTGGAGGAGTAAAGGAATCTTTGGTATCCTCATTGTATATTTGTGAATTAAGTGCAAACTATTCTTTTTTTCCCTTACAAGTGCAATTTATTATTAATTCAAAATTTATATTTTTATCATTCTTTGTGTGTATACTTTGTAGGAATTTGAAGAGCATGAAAGTCAAGAAAGTAACAATACTGAAAAATCTTAACTTAATTCTTATTTAGATGAGTAAAGGTTGCTTCCATCGGTTGGTTTTGATATCTTGGCTTATTGGAAGGAAAAAAGTCGTAGATGTCCCAATCTTGCAAGAATGGCTTGTGATATATTGAGCATTCTAATAACCACGGTGGCATATGAATCTGATTTTAGCATTTCCTCTTGAGTTTTAAGCAAGTATAGAAGTTCAATGAAGAGGAATACGTTCAAGCTCTCACGTGCACACGGAGTTGGTTATATGGTTTTGAAGGTAAACTTGTTAACTTTTTTCAAGTGTATCATAAATTCATAACGTTGCATGTTATTCACGCATATTATAAATAATGTACATTTTTTTAACTACTATTTTTCTTATTTTGTAAGATTTGATAATGACAGTAATACTAATCAAAATGGTTTAAGTGGACAAGCATCCACCACATTTTAACACGTGAATGTCTTTGAAAAAAACTCAAGTGACGTTGCGAGTCGAGTTAGGACTATTTGATATTTTTGTTAAGTTTGATAACTTAAAACTTGTTATTTTGTGGAAGTTACATGTTGGATATTGTGTTACCATGATTCACGTACCTTATTTTATGCTATCATGTAACTTAATGTTGTGAGGGCAAAACCTCATATATAGATGTGTTCGTTT